TGTGGTGGTGGGGGCGGCTCAGCCACTCCGCGAATGCCACCAGTGCTCGGCTCCAACACGGTGCCCTCTGGCCATGTCTTTGTTTTCATATGAGGTCCCCATCCTGACCAGGATCATCCACGGGCGCTGCTGTGCATGCAAGGCCAAGGGTTGTGGTGCAGAGTCACCCCTAACCAGCACCACATTTGGATGCTGCAGCATCATGGTGGGTTTGCACAGGTCAACTCTTCCAGGAGCTCATGAACCAACACGTAGGAACAAGCACGCTTCATCTACAGGTAGAGGAGGAGCAGCTGGATGAACCTTCCCTGAGATAAGGGAAGAGCCTACCCCACCAGCTTCAAAAGGGACCCCAGGGTGGTTTCATCTGAGCACTGAAGAGGGAATGAAGACAGAGGTTGATCCCCTTTGCAGGCTACATCTCTCCAGATCTCCTATGGCTTCAGCCAGAGCTGCTCAGGCAGGAGACTGGTCCTGCTTGGACCGAGGTTCTGGAGACACCGGCACCGCCGAGCTCTCCCTGCCCTTCGGTTACGTCTACAGCACAGAGTGACCCAGTTGTGTGCTGTGTGACACCCCTCAAGGCACTCCCAGCTGCGGAGCTCCATCAGGTTGACTTGGAGGAGATGTTCCTTCAGAGGCAGCACCCAGCAGGCATGGTGACACCCACTGCCACCCCCTCTGTCAGGGAGGGGGCCAAACGCATGATGACGTGCCACAAGAGGCGATGACAGGTCCGTGCCACAACGTCACACTGGCTCCCAGTTAGGGGGAAAAGCGATGAGGAATCCACGGCTGACTCAACAAACCCCACAGACCGGCCATCAGGCAGCTTCTTGAACCCATGAGCAGTTGAGGGTGGTGGAGATGGGGGGGCACGCAGCTGAGCCTTTGTACCGAAGAAGGGCCAAGAGCCACGGATGGGCTGAACGGACACATCAAAGTGACGAGTACCCTGGACAAGCCCAGGAGAGGGACATGGACCAGGCTTCTGGCTGACCTCCAACCTATCCCAAACCTGGATGCGCAGGTACGAGCTCAAATTTGCAGAGAGAAGATGGGGCGCCAGGAACGGGTCACTGCGTTCAGATATGTCCCACCTTGAAGAGCTGGAGGGTGAAGGAGGACTCTGGACTTCCCAGCACATCCCCTTGCTGCTGCTGAACAGCTCCATTCCAACGGGAGGATGGAGAAGGGGACTCTCAACCATCTCACCCCATCAGCAGCTGCCTGGGACCCTGGGGTGCTGCAGGCAGGGGAGACCGGGATAGCTGACAACAGGGATGGTGGACACAGACAGGGCAGGTTTGCCCATGGTGCAGCAGGAAAAACCTCTGAGACACCTTACGGGGGGGCTGCGAATGCTTCAGAGAGTGGTGGCCATGAGGGACAGCCCTCTCAAGGTGGGCAGTACGGTGTGCACGCAGGGTTATCCTGGCCCCATGGCAGCTTGGTAGCAATGGTCCTCTCCTCCTCAAGTTACAAGGGCTGCAATCACTGTGGAAGGTCATCTGGTGGGGTGGGCTCTTGGTCTGGGCTCCTTCTCAGCCAAGGAAGAAGGTGGGTCAACCTGGGGACAGTGTTGTCCCCTGGTGCTCAGGAGCATCTCTGGGCATCACTGTGTGTGGAGACAAGGGCGAAGTCCTATGTGAGCAGAGGAATCCAGGAGCCAACGTCGCTCTGGGTAGGAGCAGGAGCTGGGCAACAGGATGTCACCAATACCCTTGTCCCCAGGATCATCATACTGGTGGGTGAGGGTGGCCTGAGCAGGTAAAGAGCTGCGGGCTGACAGCCCAAACGGAAGGCAATGGTCTCCTACGACTGCCCAGGTAGGGTGCATGAGGTCCCCCTTGCCCAAGGCTGGAGGTGGTGGCCTACTGTGGCACATGGCCTCCTCAGGCAGGTCGGGAGAGGTGAGAGCATGGAGCACGGCCTTCCTCCACAGCACCAGGTCTTCGGGGCAGGCACGGGGAGCCAACCCACAAAGAGGGACAGCTCGGCGGCAGAAACTGCCCCAGGCAGCAGCATTTGGCCTCGTGGTCAGGAGAAACCGGCAGCCACTGCCTCCAACTTTCCTTGCCAGGCTCAGGGCTTGCAAAGGGCAACCTTCCAGTTTTGGGTGGCAACGACACAGCTACACCCGCTGCTCATCACACCAGGGGACTCACCTGGAGAAGAAGGGCTTGCGGCCAACCGGGACCAGCTCACGGCTACGAGGTGGCCATGCTAGGGCCAGCTGGGCTCGAAGAGCTCCTCTCCCTACGCATCTGCCCCCTTTCCGTACAAACCTCTTCCCGCAAACCCAACGCTGGGGTTCGGCTCGCTCAGCTGCAGAGCAGCGCGGTTTCCTACCTCCTGCTCAAGCGGATGCACTATTGCCAAATAATTTGCCTCTAAAAGCTTCTCTGAGAACTAAGACGCCCTGGAGGATGCTCTGGTACAGGAGTCCTATGTCCTGTGGGATCACCGGGTTCAGGATGATGAGCATGGGAGAAGACAGCTTTGGGTTAAACACAAACAAATCTGGGCAGGAACAAACCATGCAGGAAAACCATGCAGAAAAATCAGAGGTGAAATCAATGTGAACACTGACAAGAGAAACATGGAAAACTTTGGCAAGACAGTCCCCCTTTTTGTTTTGGGTTTGGTTTTTTGTTGGTTTTTTTTTTCCTCTTCAAAAATAAAAATGTTAGATTGCAAAAGAAAAAAAAAGGCTTCAAACAGTTACAAAAAGCCCATCCTTCTCAAGGCAGCACTCCCACGGTGCCCACGTTCCCCCTACAACAGCTCTGGCCCATACACGGCGCCGCAGGATGAGCAAATCCTGAGGGCAAAGACCGCGCTGGCACTGACTGCTTCACCTAAGATCCCCCCTTCAGCATTTTATCCCCAAACTTGCCATTTCTCCCTAAAGCCTCGTCCCCAGCCGTTCTCGTGATTAGGCTTTAGAAACCCATCCCTGGCCTTTTTGGAACGTGCAACCCCCTCTTGCTGCACCCAGACCACCCTGGCCAGCAGGAACGGTTTAGGACATGGGCTCTGCCACCATCCCATGAAGGCTGCACCCCAGGAAAACAGCACCGGCCAGCACTCAAAAGCCCCACGTGCATGGAAGACCCATGCTGGGGACCTACAGCACCCTACGGAAGGAAACAAAACCATTCGAGGTACTTACTTGGACTGGGTTTGCTTAGTAAGGTTCTTTATGGTCAAGCCCTCCTTTCCTATGATCGCACCAACAAACTGCGTGGGTACCAGCATCCGCAGTGGGAAATCGAGCTGTTTGGGCTGCGAGGAGCCCCCCGGGGAGGAGCCCCGCTCCCTGGAAGAGTGGCCCCCGCGGCGGGATCGCTGGGGGGGTGGAGGGGAGCTCACCTCTTCATCCGGGATGTAGGAAATCTTGAAGGAATAGTTCTCAAACTGGTGGTCACTCAGCTTCTCAATTGCTCTGCAAGGCAGGGAGATGCGGAAGGTGGTGAGGGGCTCTCCGAGGACCCCTCCAGCACCCCCCAGCACTTGCTGTTGTTGACCATGGTCCTCCCCAAGCCTGCATCTTCCTCCCCAGTTTGGAGAAGGTGGCCATGGGAAGCCAGAGCCCCCCACTTTCCCCATGCGGAGCAAGCCCCGTAGCGTGGTGGGATGATGTCCCTTCCCATGTGGGTGACACCAGGGCTGGCACACGGCTTGTCCCCCCAGCAGAGGTGGGATGCCAGCCTGAGGATCTGCCACTCCACCTGAGGAAAGCATTGGCCAGAAGCTATCACACAGCATGGAAATGGTCTCGCAGGCTTTTTCAACACAGAAAAGGTGACAGCGGGGCTCTGAGCAAGAGCTGCCGCTCCAAGCAGAAGGATGGGGCACATGGTGCCCCTCTATCAGGAACCCCAACTCCCTTTCCAGCTCAGTGAGGCTGGGGGTGCAGCACCCGGACTCTTCATCCCCCCAAGCCCCTCCTCAGAGGCGTGATGCTTAGCCATGCTGGAGTCTGCGATGACTTCTGCGAGCGGTGATGGCTTCAGCCGTACTTCTTCCCTCTTCCTACCGCATCTCGCTTGGGCTATTTACAGGCAGGCGAACGAAGGCACCACTGCAAGCAGCTCCTCGCCAGGCCTCAGCTTCATATCCAGTGAGGACTTCTGCAGCTTCGCCCTCCCTTTCCAAGAGCAGCACAGTCTGATTTCTCTACAGAGGTCTTCCTTTCACCTCTTCCCATCCCAACGTGCTCTAAACCAAACATGTACTCACAAACCACCCTGGCCTTTCCTCTCATCTCTTGCTTCTGCATCGAGCTGCTGAGCACCACCTAAGACAGGTGTCAGTCAAGCCTCTTACCCCAAAGTATCAAGCACTACTGTGTCGGTCAGACTCTTGGCCTTCCTTGCTTGCTACACATCCCAAGACACAGCAGCTCATGCCATGCTTATCTGCGGTCCACAGCACCTTCCTCCGGCCAGCTGATGCTGGAGCATGCCCACCATGGCCACCCATGGCACAAGGAGGACTCTGCTCTGGCCTCCTGGACCAGCAGATCATTCTCCCCATCTCCATCCTCACACGTCCAACCTCGTGATGGATCAACTCAGATAGGAAGTCGCTGGAACATCCAGCAGCAAATGGACTCTGGCAAAGGCTCTTCCTTGCATGGGGTCTGCCTGCTCTTGGTCACATCAAAAATACCCTGGCCACTAAGTATGAGGTGTGCTCACTACATACTCACAGCTAACTCAGGGCTGGTCTCTAGCACAGGGCTAACATCTCTACAAGCCTGTAACAAAGCGTTTTCCTTGAAATAGTCCTCACATTTCTGAAATAACCCCTAATTTGTATTTTTTTTCCTCTGCTGGTTATGATAAATCTTTAAGCATATCTTCACACAGCCCTACTGCACTGATGCACAGCCTCATTGGGTTCTTCCGTTCTTTTAAGGTTTTTCTTGATGGGTGGCATTTCTTTACAATTCCTCTGCACAACATGCAGGTGATCTACCCTCTGCCGCTCTCCCTCCCCTGCAGAAACGAGCCACGGACCCCTTGGCTCCCTCTCACCTCCTCTGACCAGTTATTCCTCCTCCCAAAGGCCCTCCCTTGTCCATGGCAGAAGCCTTTTAGAAGTCGACGACCAGCAGGTTTCTCTTGACTCCAGGAAGCAGCAGGCGACAGTCTCTGCATATTTTGGTCTCCAACTTGAATTTTCCCCAAATGGTGGAGGGTACTTACACCTCCCATCACCGCAGCGTTTCTTCACCATCTCTCCCACCTCCTTCGCCATATTCCACCTCTTCAGCAGCTCGGGTTGGGTGGTCCAATTGGTGATTAATCCAGTGCATTCCTAGTTTAGGTTTGGACTTCCAACCTGGGAAGATGACTCCTTGATGAATTGCTTACCTGATCTGACCCTCAGCTTTCTAGAGCGCTTTGCTCCCTGAAGACAAGGCCACTGCAACCCTGCAGAGGATCTTGTAGGAAAGACAGTGTCCAAAGAGAATTGCAAGATGGCACATCTGGGAGCCCCATGGGGACAAGAGAAGAAGGTACAGAGGAAGAGGGGGCCACCATGAGAAACCCCATCTGCCATGTGAGGGGAGAAGGCAGGAGACTGCCCAGCGGTGGTGGGACGAAGAGAAGACTGCTGGCAGAAAACATGCGAGATGAGACAGGTCAAGATAAAACCAACATCTGCCTGCTATACCTTCAGAAGATACACAGACAGCTCTGAAGGCCCTTGAAGCTTACATTGCAAGAGCTTAGAAATGACCCAAGGCGGCTTAGACAGAAGACAAGAAGCAGCCTGGAAGATACCTGGGTTTCCCTGGGAAAAGTTTGGGTGGTGTGAAAGTATGGACAAAACAAAACAAAATCCACTTACACTTTTGCTTCTTCTTTAGTTGCATACGTTACGTTGACAACGGCTGTTTCTGTGTCTGTGTTGACTGGGGGAAAAGCAAGAGAAGAAGCGTTAGAGCAGGGGAGCAGAGAGATGTCGTTCCTGCTCCCGTCTCCCCTTGGTATGCCCTGGAGCAGGGATGCAGGGGGGGATGGTGGGAGGGTAATGCCTGTCCCATGGGGGACGGCCCCGGCCACCGCACAGGGTGCACGTTTGTGCACCGCTGTATTTTCCCCCAGCACAAGGATTGAGCTGGGCTGGTAAAGGACCAGAAGGTGCCAAGGCTGGATCCTGCTGCCCTCGCCAAGGAGGATGCATGGCCGGACATCACCAATCCACCAGCAGACCCCAAACAGTTTGTTTTTGCTTGCAGGGAAAATTGGGGTTTTAGTTTGCCAGTGACCACGAAAAGCCCTGGGGACGGAGGGCTGATGGCCCGTGCCATCTCATCACTGGATGGGTGGCCCCACCTCTGCCAGCAGGCCTTGTGTCCATAAGAAAAACCATTTCATCCCAGTACCAATGACTGGGAAAACAAGGTTTCACCTCACTGGGTTTTCTTCAGCATGGGCAGAGCTGGGGAGCAGCGCTGAGACTTTTGCACAGATGAGGACCATGCTGGACCATCTTACCTTGCTCTACGTTCTCCACTGTCCCATACTGAGCTAAGAGGCCATCCAGCACCTGGGGGAGAGAGCAGCAAACAGGGCAGGTAGGGCAGGTGAGGCAGGCAGGAGAGGCTGCCGGACAGGCAGAGAGCAGGCAAGGGAAGAGCCTGCTTCACCCACAGACACCCTCCAAAGAGCCCAGCATCACCCAACTGCTTAAATGCCTTCACCCACCTGTATCCCATTATTCCAGTGATGCCCTACTGCTCAAAGCTGCCCCATGGCTCTGGCACCCACAAGCAGGCAGGAGATGGAGCCCAGTTCATGCTTCACCTCCCTCCTGGCTTTACTGGGAAGGTAAAGGGTGACCCACGTGCAGATCACAAGCTCCAGCAGCACAGGTGGTGCTGCCCGGCACAACCGATGGAGATGGAAATGAACGGGATGTTTTTAAGATCATCCGCTTCTTACCTCCCACTGCAGGTGGGGGGGGATGTTTCGGATCTGGATCTTCCTGCTCCTGCAAAGACAAAGCCCAGGGTTAGGGTCTGCAGGCATGCTGCAGCAGGAGAGCAAAGGCTTTCTGGGCATCAGACGGCAGCTGGTGAGAGCTTGCTGAAGCATCCCCCTTCCCCACGCTGAGCTGGAGCAGCTCATCCCCTGGGAAAGCCATTTCTCCCAGCCTTGCCCCCCATCATCACTCGTTGGGGCGATGCTGTCTCAAGAACGCTCCCTCCTCATGCTGGCTGGTAAGGAAACCTCCTGAAATGAGCCCCTGCAGAGTCACGGCCACACAGGCACAGCTGGGATGCACGCACACCCCTCACCGCGCTGCCCCGGGCTGGCCAGCTGGATGCAGACAGGATCCAGAGACCCACCATGGCCAGCCCCGCCGTTCCTTGAGAGGGGTTCTCCGAAAGTGCATCCTGCTGATGTCCACCACGTCCCAGCAACATGGGGCTGCTTTCCGTGGGGAAACCGAAATACATATCCTCGGAGGCCTGCCCCTGAAGTTGGCCAAGGTGCCCTACCTTGCCTGGTTGCACTCCCAGCCTCACATGATTGTACTCTCGACTTCACTGCGGTGCAGCCCTGGGGCATGGATGCGCAGGAAGCATTGCAAAGGCTTCCCAAGAGCTAATGGCCACCAAACGCCTCTCCAGCCTGGCTGCAAGAAGATGTGCTTGGGCAGTGGGGAGTTTCGAGACATTCAAGTCCATGGAGGATCAAGCCAAGCCGTGAACTCATCTACTGTCCACCCAGATAATCCTACTTGTAGTCAATCAGCTCTGACCAAAGTAGCGTCCTGTGTTCTCACTTGGTCCAGCCCTAATGCTCCGAGCAGACCCAGACCACTTCTCCCAACATCAGGGATGAGTTTTCCGACCGAGCCATCCCACGCAACACAGCCAGGTTTTGGAAGCCAATCGGCAGCTGGAATCTGGTTTTACAAAACCAGTTTTTGTCCTTTCTTGGGATCAGCTTAAGGAGAATGCTTGGAAGGACCGGTACCACCAGCCTGAACGCTACGTGAGGACATGCAAGCAGCCACCAGCAGCCTCAGCTGACGGCCAGCAAGACCACGGGGCTTTGGGTCAAATCCTGCAGGATGAGCCTTTGCAGGAGGTGGGATGAGCTCTGCTCGCCTGCAAACCATCAACATCCAACACCTTGATTCCACCAGCGGTCTTCAAGAGCTGAAAAATGAGACCTTCAAACTTTGGCCCAAACAGCAAGGCTGGCCCCTGCATTCACTGGTCATTGCACAGGCGCACCCCGAGCCCCTGCAAGCAATTTGGGCAGATAGAGTTTCTCAGGTAGTTTGGGGCCAGACACCAGGGACAGGGAGGAAACGTGGGGCACACGAAACGAGAACCAGAGGTAAGGCTGGCTTTCCTGCAGACCCAAAGCAGCCAGGGCCGGCAAGAGTCGTGCACCGCAGCGCTGGAGGTTGACATGCTCCAGACACGATCCTTCTGCCTCCGCGGGCTCCGATTGCCCCTGATTTAATAGCACAGGACAACCAGAACCTTGTGATGGACAACCATCTGCCTTGTGAGACATGAATTCGGGGTGCAGCATGAGCAACATGACTATAAGGATGCCGGCGAATATGCGCAGCAATCTGGGGCATCCGCCCCACACACAGCAAGTACAGGCTCCAAGCAAGAAAGGGATGGCAAGGAAATGATGTTCCTTGAGATGTGGGCTGTGAGAGCAAGCCAAAATCCACAGCTTGTCCCACAAGAAGGACCACGGTCAAGCAAAGCAGCTGAAACCACCAAGGAGCCTCGTATCTCACGGTGCTCCTCAAACCGGTATGGTCAGCGGTGCGATCGGCAACAGACAACAAACCCTACGATCGCATCCGACTGAGGAGGTGTGCTCAATAAAACCCTGCGTGGGTTTGACAGATGGCTTCCCCAGGCCAATCCTCCTCCAGGAATCCTGCGTACGGCCGTCCCTGCTGAAACCTCACCTCCCCACCACGGCCCAGAACCTTGCCCAATTCATGACCTGCCCCCCGTGCCGCGATGGCTCTGCCCGTTGAAAGAAATAGGTCACTGCAAAAAAGTGGGGAAGCCAGAGCTGGAGAAAATGGTGCTCTCCTGCAGCGTTACCAAACCTCTCTCCTCCAGCAGCCATGGACCCCGTCTGTCCCCAGCTGCCACAGGGGATTTCAAGGCTGGGCGTGCAGCTGTAAGATCCCTGTGAGGCAAGGAGCAAGATTCATCCCATCCCGAAGCCGTTCCCACCCCACACCACAAAGGCAGCAGTAACGAGAACCTGGCCCAAGGGAGACCGTGGTAGAGACAATCCTGCACTACTCACCAACAGCCAAAACCCTTCTCTTGCCTGTCCTTGTCACCCACCCATGGCTGACACTGCGCCACTGCTCCCAGTACCAACGCTCTGCAGGGCCCGCTCCAGAAAACGGGCCACGTTTCATTTTTAAAACCCACCAACGTTTCCCCCAGGGGCTATTTTAAGATGCCCAGGGCCAGTCCAGGGGAGGTGCTCAGCTCCCAGGGGGACTGACCGCTCCTGCCTGCTCCAAGAGATCCATCCTGCTCCCGAGCTGACCGGCAGCACGCTGCAAAGCCCGTTTGCCTGAGCAAATCCCAGTCAGTCTCAAACCATCAGCACCTGAAAGCTTTCCAAGGAAAAGCCCTTCTCAGCTCCAAAAGCCCAACCGAAGTTGCTTCTACCGCTTCCAGCCCCAAAACAGAACAGGTGACACCTTCATCTGCCTCATCCCAAGATGCCACCGCTCAGCTGCAAGGCAAAGCATCGCTACAACCATCCTCCTCCCCGAGCCTGGGAACTGTCTGTGCCCACGGGATGCCACAGGCTGGAGCAGAGAGAAGCCACTCTTCTTTTGGGGTCCATTTGGCTCAGCTCACTCCAACACCAAAGCCCAGCAGCCTGGGGGACACGGGGCATTTTGAAACTCATCCAAGCAAAACCAGCACACTGGCTGGACGTGGTCCCCTTGCCGCGGTGTCAGCAGCAACTCTAGAAAAGCCTCTGCCTTGAATTCAACTGCACCAGGGCTATCATCTCCCTCCAACTCTGCCAAAGGAGATGCCAGGGCAGCCCCGGTCCCCCGAGGTGCTGTCTCACCCCTCCGTGCTCCTCGCCTGCCTCCCAAAACACCCAAAGAGAAGGACCACAGCAAGGGGCCACGTAACCCCACTTCCCAACGGGACACTACGGCATATTCCCACTTCCGACATCCATCCGAGCTGACGCAGAGCATCTAGAGATACCCAAATGGGGCTCAAGGCTTCACCCTCACCACCTGGCAGGTCTCCCAGCAGCTCATTATCACCACTCAGCATTTAAAATCAGGTTATTATTCCTACCGGGTGTATTGGTTATAGCTCTCATAATTGCCCACCTGGTTGATGTGGTGCTGGACCACGCGGGGTCATCACCGATGGAGTGATGGATGTATAGCCGGGGCCATGATGGATGGATGTGTTATTCCCAGGGATGGGGCATGGACCACATGTGGTCCTTGCCAGACAGGGCAGCAGAGCTCAAGGCCACCCTCCTCCAACACCGCTTCCGAGAGGACTCTGGGGCAGAAACCCCCTTTATTTTCATTTTCCTCATTCCTCCCAAAACCTGGGAGACAGGGGAGTGATTTCAGCGCGCGTACACAACCCGTGGTGCAGGACCTCGTGAGGAAGGCAGCAGCCACGTTTCACCCAACCTGTTCTACAGCAGGCTGGTAGGAATTTTTTTAAAAAATAAAAATCGTAATAACCAGTAACTACAGGCATACAGTTTGTGGAAAAATACTCCACTGTGTGGTGCAACTAGCCCTGCCGTAGTGAGCTGCCCTCAGATAACCACGAGAGCTCTGCCTTTCTGTATCACCCTTCTGCTCTTCCCTACCTGCACGCTCCCACCAGCCATCTCGGTGCCCAGCCCGGGACAAAATGCCCAGTGGCAACTGAGCATCAGCTTCAAGTGCTAAAGAAACCAGATTTACATAGCTTCACCTGCTTTTTTTCCCTTCTACATTCAACCAAAAAGGGTCCAGCTCACTAGCAGCTATTCCAGCTGGAGGAGGAAACAACTCCTTCATCCCAGAGCTGGGTACCATGTGCCGGCCGGCATCACACGCAGGACGAAGGAGCCCGTTCTCTAAGCAAGTGAGGCTGTAAGCTGGGTTCATGGAATAATCCGCGACAGAGCTGTGCTATATTTCATGCATCCGTTAGACCGAAATCGCGAGATCGATATCGCAGCCCTGCGAGGAAAGGGGACGGAAAACCCATGGCCACCTGTGCCCCACCAGCGTCACCGGCTGATGCCCACGAACGAGAACTTTACGTGCCATGTGCGGGATATCTGTACTTGCTGAAATCAAGCAATAAAACAGAAAGTGCCTTAAAACTTGCTGTTTATTCCCTAGAATCAGGTGGATTGGGGTTTTTTTTGGCACATCTCTCTCCTTTCCAGTAGCCCAGGTAAGCAGCGGCACTCGCACAGCTTTGTGTCTACCCCTCCCGCAGCTCCCAGGGAAATAACGAATAACAGCCAGCCCCGAAATCCACGGACGCAGAAAAAGAAGAAGAAAGAGGAGACGAAGCTGCGAAACGAAAACAAGCCACCAGACCTCCTGCCTAACCTCCGCGAGCCCTCCCTGCATCCGCCGACCCTTCCCTCGCCCATGGGGCTGCAGTTCCACGGACCACCCATCCCCTGGTCTCCTGCTCCAAAATGCAGGGGTTTCACCTCTCACAAGCATTTGGGAACCAGAAACTTAATTTCACTGAGCTGGCTTAAATATAAACCTTACATGGTATGTAAGGGATGGCTTCACCACTCTTTGCCCTAAAAAAAATAAAAGAATATTTTTTTCCTAGTCAAGCTGTGGAATATCTTATTATAATAAAGCCATAAAGAGATTTTATCACCTTCCACCTCAGATCAGTACTGAGGGCAGAGAAAACACCGTCTGGCAGTTCCTGCTTTCAATAAAAACCAGTTTTCAAGAGAACTGGG